CTCTCCAGTAATTTTTATCAGCATCAAGTTATCCTTACCCGGCAAAAACGATGTAACCTATAAATCGATCGAGCGCATTGTTGTTGGTTAAGATCTAACACGGTTTCCCCCGCAATTTCAGTACCGAAAGACAAATACGATATGAAAGAAAAACAAAGATGCATGATATTATTTTTTTTCAATTTTTATTTTTTCAGTAAGCATTTCTGATTTCCTCTGCCGGTCGCTTCTTGCTTCTAAAAAGTCTAAAAATATTTGCTGTGGGAAAAGTACTGCAATTTTCCGCTGACCACCACGCGGGTTGACCGCTTTGCAAGTTGTGAGAACATCGTTTCTCGGTCCCAGACCTCGTCTCTCCCCCCCCCCCTGGCGTGGACTAAATAGACTGTCCGCCTTTTCTCCTTAATTCATCGCGTTCTTAGGAGACGTCCTTTCTTGTTGACGGCCAAAATATAGTATTTTTCTCAAAATCCGTCAGTCCCTAGTAACCAAGCGACCCCAAAAGTAGAACGTAGGGAAGCTATTTGTCACCTTTATACCTGATGTGCGTGTGGGACACGCGACTGACTTCCGGGTTAATTCCCGGTATTGAACCGGAATTCAAACATTCCAAGCAGATTCTCGCTATGTCGACCGCGTTCAAAGAGGGACCTTTAGCAGTGACGACGAGTACTTGAACGTCAACTACCGGAAGTTGGAAAACGAGCCATGATGCTACCACGCATGCCCAAACGAGCACGAGCTCGTCGTCCACACCTCGTTGAGGACGCCATTTGCCGCCATCTGCCGTCCTGTGGTAAAGGTGAGTATTGTTTGACTTATTTTCTTATATTTTCTGACTTAATTTTGCAATTTCTTGAATCCCAAGGTTTTTATTAGTAGATAAGACAGAAGCGGTAAGTAAAACATTGAAATAAGAATAAAATACACATACCCTTTTCAGTACTCTTTTGAAACATTAGCATGATTGCTCAGTGTCCGGCTCTGGATAAAGGGGGTGGGGAGGGGAGGTCTTTGAATGAATCTTTTAACTTTTTGATGGATTGATCTATAGGCACCAAATTGATCTGGAAATATTCGTTTGTGCCATTATGATGTTTATGTGACATTTGCATTTCCATAGCAACCACATAAATCAAAACTTGCATGTGTGTCGTTTTCTTTTACTTTCTTCCTGTACATTGAAGGTGCTTTTTTAAAGTATAATTCCTTCTTTCCTACAGTCGATATTTTACATCCCATTACACTTAATATTATCCAGGTAGGAGAAAATACATCATCAAAACCAGTACAGCTAGACTTCGATTCATTGAAAGTATTGTTCCAGGGAAGGGGGTTCAATACCAAAATAATCACTGGTGTTATTACCTAAAAGGCATGTAATGGCGTTACGGAGAAGTGCACAGACAACATACATTTTAACGACGGTGCTAAGGCCCATCTTCAAATTCTTTTTATAGTCAAGAAATTTAAAAGAATTAATGACGTCACCGAATAACCATTATACAGAAATCCGTAAAGCGCTCATAGCCTCGTTGTAATCCTGCATGAGGGGTGTAAGTGGGACACGACGGAACGGTGTTTGGAGATGAACTCGGAGAGGGTAGGCCAAATCTCCATAAATGCACATAGCTTGAGCTGCTGGATTATAGGCATACTGTTGAAAGTCCCGCAGTAGTCCAGAATCGTTTAAAATCCCTGCGTCGTGTTTACGCCCCTCTAGAAACGAAATTAAAATCAAACATGAGAAGAGAATTTTTTTTCGGGGGGGGGGGTGTTTAAGTTTAAAACACTAACGTTTTATTACAAACTCACCAACTGGTCCAAATAGGTTGCCAATAAGTCCATTTGGTAGGGACAAGGATTGGATTTTTAACGCGTGGACCCTCTTGTGGCCATTGTACACAATTCTCTGACGCTCATTTGGTCTTGAAATGGGTCGGACTGTTCCATCTACAAAACCGAAACAGTTGTCAAGGGGGCCTCCTTTTCCTGATATAGCTTCTGCATAACGCTGCAAAGCCCCAGGATTCAGAAGATCTGGATTCCACTGTGTTATACGGTGCCCATGAACATCATAAATATAGTCGATGACATCATCTCTGCTCGCATTTAAAAAACCGGTGGTAGTTGGAGGGCTGCAACAAGGCGAGGGAGATCGTGTTTCTCGACACGAAACTCTGCTTTGCACTCTGCGGAGTTCATAGAATCCAAATCAAACCGTTGATAGTTTTCATGGGGAAAATCTGGATTCTTTGACATGAAACTATCGTAAAGTAGCAAAAACTCTTCATCGGAAATAATTTCATCGCCGTAGAGAAGTACAAGGAGGTCACAAAATTCTTTGAAAGACATTTTCCCTGGTGACTTTCACTGTAGGAAGAGACTCGTCCACGTACCGTAACCGGTTTGCTAAATGTTTTTGTTTCCCGCCGAAATACCGCCGTGGACGACGTTCTCGTTCCAGGCTTCAATCGGTCATACCAGTCCTCGTCCTCGTTCTCGTCTTCATTGCTAAAGGTCGCTAATAACGTAAAAGATTGCTGACGAAGGCAAGGACGAAACTTGCGATCAGACCAGGCAAAATCCCCGGCAAGTAAGTTTGTATTACGTTGCTTTATTTTGTTGAAGAAAAAGATTTTCTCTAAGAAGACACTACGACAGTATAAAGGAAGAGAATACTATTTTGGAGCTTTATATCCATATTTCATACGCTGTGGCTATATGGCCGGTAACCGGTCAAGGTTTTCAAAACACTAAATGGTCGGCAGTCCTATATTCTCAGTAAATTTCACAAAATCGAAAGATTCTAGCTAATCTAAACTATCATATGTCGATTAAGACAAGTCAAGCGATCCTGAAATGCTTTATAGATCTCAAGTCTTGTGTGGTTTACGCTGGGCTCAGAAGACGAAACCGTGTTTTGTGACACTTAGAACTTTTTTCAGCTAGACTGCCGGTGAAGGTTTTCAAAACACTAAATGGCCGGCAGTCCTATACAAAGTAAAAGGCAAACGAACTTTATGCCCTACATAGTAAATGAAACTGGGCTAAAAGAAAACAAATATATTATTGATATTCACAGCACGTTTGATATTTTAGTGGCACGAAAATAACTCAACATTTTCAGGGTCTTCGAAACGGTGTCGAGAACTGATAGAAGCTTGAACAATTGATGATTTAAATCTTCTGTATGAGGTCTTCTCAGTTTTTCATTTTTATCCACTCTCGTTTTATTTTCCGACGACAGTTTGATGTGTGAGATAAATGACCTTAAGTCTGTTCCTTCACATGTGCGTAATCTTATAGTCGATTCTATTGGAAATGAGAGAGAACAACAGATTCAACACAGTAAAGTTAGAAGTTTCAAAAGAGCTTTACACCTATCTCATCATTTTTTAGGTCGTCGTTTTCTAGACACGTTTTATCCAAAACCAGATTCATTTCTTAATTAAAGTTGTAAAATTCTATTTGTTGACTTCCCGACAACAGGTCTGTGGCAATTAAACCTATTGTATCATTGCCGAAACTGAAGCACGCCGTATAATGCATGGTGACAAGCTAGATGAACAATTTCAGTTGTACGTACCACGTTTTTTTTCATTTGGCAGCATTCATTAATCGTGGCTTTATGAAGCCCCGAACCCTTAAGAAAATGCAAAATATTTTGCACGCATAGCCGTGCTGAAAAACTTGAGAACAAGTTTAGATTTGTTTTGACTTTGTAACCTCTTCAAGATATGTTTTTTATCTCAGTACTTAGTAGTAAGCTCCTTCAAGCAAGCAATTATCAAAGCCAGTTCCTTCACATGAAAATGAATATAATATAGCACTTGAAACCAAAACAAAATGCTGCTTTCATTTTCTTTCAAAACTCATATATATAGGATCATATCTTTCTCTTTTTCAGGAGTTAAACCGTGAATAACTTGCTGTATACAGGGCGTTTTTCAGATAGTTATTCACGTGGTCCAAAAACACCCCAATCATAAGAGCAAGAAACGCAGCACTGGGAGAAGGAAAAAAATTATAGTAGGCCAGTTTTTGTTTGTGCTTTTTCCCAATGCGTACCTTGCTCTCCAGTGCGTATAAGGTTTTGGATCACGTGAATGTCTATCCGCCAAGGGTCCGACTGGTTCTTAGTAACCATTATTTATGGCTTAATTTAATGAAATTTAAACTGTCCTCCTGTCATAAGACAGGTCAGATCGGACAAAGTTAAATAGCCAATGAAATTTAAGGAGCAAATTTACTAAGAGTTGAGTACTTGAGTACGTTGCCCAGCCTCAGCTTTAAAAAAAAAAACAGCACAGAATTGAACGTTCATCCAGACGCTGTTTTCTTAAAAAACCTGCTGTCTAATGCTTAAAAATCAATGTTTGGATCCTTGAAACTGAATAAAATTACCATGAATCCTCTGACGGAGGCTCTGAGCTTGTTTACAAAACTATAGACCTTTAGATTTGAGGAGGACGACGACTACGAGTTGGAGATTTGATCTGAGTTTTTTCGCGAAGTTGCTAATTGTCTGTTTTTAATTCTGCTGTTGTACCATAACCAGTACTTCTTATTCATTCAAAATATTTCCCCGATTCTGATTGGCTAAAAGCACTCGTTTAATTCACCATAACCAGTTACTGATGACCAAATTTGGAAGAATTTTGACTTAAACGAGGAAATGACGTCAAAAATGCAGCGTTTTCGCAGGTTAAGGCACCGTTAACCGAGAAGACCTGGGGACGAGGTTGAGTTGTTTTGGTTGTGAACTTGAAAAAATGGCGGACATTTCACTCGTTTCAAGAGTAAGA